TATATATATTTTTTTTTTTTTTCCATGCATAGAATTGTTTTCATTTTCGAGCTTGAATTCAATTTTACTTCTCCACTCGCACACTTAACATTGCAGAGCATCTGCAAATTAGTGTTGTCACACAGCTGTCACTGAATGCCATACTAAAGGTTTGTAAAGATGTATGTATGTGTGTATGTATGTATTTCATAGTTTAATGGTCATTTCACCAAATTTGACCTTCACACATGAGTCAGACTTTGTTCAGTACAATGTTCCCCCTAAGCGCCTGTGAGCAATTGCACACTGCTCTCACACTCTCAGCGCACTGGACATGAATGCAGCACATTACAAAATAAAATAAAATTGGAACCTGAGCTGTAGATTATTACAAGTTTCATATTTACTTACAGTGATTCCTGGTTAATTTGGGCTGATTAACAATATCAAAAGTGGCATAAAATGACTCCTTTACCAATTCTTTCAAACTACAACAAATCCTATTTGTGTCACAAATCTGTATTGCTCTACTTTGATACAAGGGGGTTTGACTTTGATTTTGGCGGTACTGTGGTGGACAGATTAGCTCCGTGAATTTTTGTGAATTCTCATCCGCATGGAAAATTAAAGGGAATATTCGTTCAATATCCTTTTATTGATCATCATTTGCTCAAACTTGTTTTATCAAAAAAAAAAGGGATGAAAATCTTTCTTCTTGAGTGTGCCATGTGCTGTCGTGCATCGACAGTATGAAATTGATGGATGAAGTGTCATCTAAAATTGCTGTGCAACTAACAAAGATATTTTGACAGCAGTGAATAGTTATGTGGATCAAAGGAAAAATTCAAAATCACAAAGTGTAGATACAGCCGGTTCCAGCACCATCTCATGGCAGGAGCTGAGGGATTGTGCTGATCAGCTGGCTGCGATCTTCACGTCCATTTTCAAACGTTCCTTAAGCCAGGCAACTGTCCCTCCCTGCCTGAAGTCCTCCATCATTGTATCCCACCCAAGAACATCAGTGGACTGAATGACTATTACTGGCGCTGACACCCAAAGGCTTGGAGTTGCTTTGAAAAACCGGTCCGAGCTCACATCAGTTCCTGTCTCCTCCCGGTTTTTGATTCTCCCTTTACAAACCAACAGGTCAACGATGGCTGCCCTAGCAATAGCTCTCCACTATGCTCGGTCCCATCGAGAGCAGCATGGGAGCTATGTCCGGCTGCTCTTAGTAGACTTCAGCTCAGCGTTTAATACCATCTTCCCCTGCAGATTGGTGAATAAGATGCCAGGCCTGGGTCTGTTTTACTCTATCTGCCTTTGGATTTTCGATTTCCTGAACCACTCCCAAAGGGTGAAAATAGGCCCCCCACGTCTCATCGGCCATTAGCCTCAGAATGGGGTACCCCCAGGGCTGTGTACTGAGTCGCCTACTTTTCACCCTGTATACTTATGACTGTTCCCCCATCATTGTGGATGATATAACTGTGGTAGAGCTTATCTCTGGGCAGGATGAATCAGCACACCAGGATGAGGTGCAGCGACTGTCAGTGATCTGTCAACATAACGTGATCCTAAATAAAACCACAACAATGGAGATTATTGGGCATTACAGAAGGACAGACATTCAGCCACAGCTCATCTATGGGGACCTCGTGGAGAGGGTACCTGATCTTCACCTCTTGGGTGTGCAGAATACTACTATTGTGAAGAAGATGCAGCAAAGACTGAATTTCTTGAGGGTTCTAAGGAGTAACAACCTGCCACAAAAACTGCTGGTGGCCTTCCATCCGTACTCTATGGTTTGCCAATTGCACAAGAGCAGACAGGAAGGCTTTCCAAAGTGTCATTAATATGGCCAAGAAAATTATCGGTTTCCCTCTGCCTTCTCTCGATGAACTGTATTGAACTTGTTGCCTCAGTAAGGTGCAAAAAAATAATCAGAGACCCCTCTCACCCTGGATATCGCCTGTTTGAACTTCTACCATTGGGCAGACGTTACCGAAATCTGAAACCATCAAGAACACCTCTTTGGAGTGCTGGGGCAGGAAGGGGATGCCTATCAGACAATTGATGGTTGTGTTGGGCTGTGAGGGACAGGGCAACTCTGGCATGCCTACAAATGACGAGATGTTCATGGACTGAGGGAACAGTGACCTTTTGCTTCTGGGAGGAGAACATTGGGGGTTGATACCCATAGGCGACCATAAATAAAGACGGGTCTTTGTTTGAGGAGGTGAGGGAGTTGTGGAATTACTCGACCCATGAAAGGCGCCGGGAAGTTGGATGGAGGGCCAAGAAACACCGAAGGGCTGACTCCAGGTCCTGATTGGCTCTCTCTGACTGTTCATTGGACTGGGGATGATAACCCGAAGACAGGCTACAACAGTGGTTCTCAAATGGGGTCATGTGAAGGCACTTCAGGTGCTGCATTGGTGTTTGAAATACATTTAAAAAGCAGTAGTTTGAAAACCCCAGGAACTGTTAGAGCTGCTTGCCAAGGAGCCTCAATCTTGTGGGATCCAGCCTAAGATGACCGCGGGTGAGTATGTAGCCAAGAAAAGTAATAGTGGGAACACCGAACTCAAAGTTTTCTGTTCTCTAGGAAGCCTTGTTGCGCTAATCTGACATGCTGGATGTCTTCTTCAGAAGTTCGAGAGAAAAAATGTCATTGAGATCAACATGCACACACTGGGAAAGCATCTCTGGGAGAATGTCATTAATGAGTGCTTGAAACACGGCAAACACATTTGTGAGACCAAAAGTCATCGCCAAATATTCAAAGAGGCCAAGGGCCATCCTTATAGGTTGTTTTCCACTCATCCCCATCCTGGATACTCACCAAATGATAAGCACTGCAAAGATCCAGTTTAGTGAAAACGGTGACTTGGTTGAGGGGGCTCAAAGGAGGGGTCGATGAGTGAGAGTGGATATTTTTGGATCTGCTTTCCACCCGTAATTGTTGGATGGCCTTAGAGTTGCATGTCGCTCTATTTTGTGAGTGTTCACCATTTTGTTTTCTCTTTCCAGGGAGATGATGGCCTACCTGTACCAGGCTGTTGGAACAAAGTAAGGAAAAGTTTGACACCTACACCATGTTTCTAACTTCCCGAGTGCCATTGTTCGAACTAACATTGTGCCTTTTGCTTCCTCCCTGCAGTGATAACTTTGCAATGGCTTGCGTGGTTGTACATAGAATATTTATTTTTCTACTTTTTTCCTGTCCATTTGTAGCCTATTACCATTAAAAAAAAACAAGTAACACAAGGTTTTGTACAGATGTTTTTTTTTTTCTAATTTTATTTTATTACACATGACAATGTATTTGATTTTATATCTATGCATTTAGTTTTTATATGTTGGAATTGGGAAGAATTAATTATTAGCAGTTACATATGCATGATATTTGTGCATACCGTGATGTGGATGATGCTTTTTAACTTATTGTAGCTCGTTTTATTCTCTTGGACAAGACCATGCTACACTGAGTTGTGCGGCTGGACAGATTTTGTGGGTATTATATTTGGTATTTGGACAGACTTAGATGAACATTTCTCCTTGTGATAAAATATTAAACTTTTTTTTTTTTTTGTATTTTCCCACAATGTTCCCACAGTGTTGAAAAGGAGTGTAAAAGCCTGCACTTTGACTTAGGGTTGTCAATGTTTTTGATGTTAATTTCTCTCCCAAATACTGTTGCACATTGGAAAAATGAAAGAGTGAATTTGGGTTGGATCCTGTTGAAACCAAACAAATGTGCCAAAATGTAACATTTGTATTCTAAAATCAATAATGTCACATCTTAATTGTGTAGTATGTAACAACACATTAATGAAGATAATATTGAACGCGTGTTTGTCGTAATTGCATTCATTTCCACGGCTGTTTCTTGGAACAAGAGTGGCTTTGACCCACACCAAACTAAAAATAAAAATAAATCTTGCACTACTATTAGCTTAAAATAACATGGCTAGCCAAGGCATTTGCATTGAATACTTGATTTTGTTTTGTCTCTTGTCTAAACTTAGATCTCTTAACCAATTTCCAATGCATGAAATGTCCTGAAAGTATGACTTTGCACAGCGGCACATCAATTAAGATTTCCATTATAATGACCATGTTGCTGGCTTCAATACATTGTATCTTATTTTTACCAAAACTGTATTATTATATGCCGTGTCATGCTTCACAAGTGTGTGGCTCTGTATTCACTGTAGCTTTTTGTCAGCATTAAACACCCATTATATGACATGAACATTAACACTCACCCTTAAGGGCTGATCCAGCCAACACATTGCTTCACTCATATGGAAGCCAATCAAGTGCTTTATTTAAAGCAACGACCGTGTTGATCTGAATGATGTTGAAATGTTCATCACTGAGTATTGACCTGTCTATAGGAACAACCTCAAGATCGAGTCACTATCCAAATGTAGTACAAGAACAGTTTATGCAAATGATGTGTCCACTCATAAGGCGTTGATCACTAACCCAGAGCTTGTTTGCAGTTGTTAATCCACTCGGGCGTATATTAGTAGCTGCGTGCCGCACTGCATGCACTGAATGGGGTGAGTTTTTTTTAACATTTCCAATCATATGTACAGCCTGTGAAGTGTAATCCAGAGTCAAAAATCAAACGAGATGAACACAAACGCAAAGCATACTTAGATTTGTATTTGTAGCTTGTAAAACAGTGGCCATGCTTAATTTATCTCTAATATCACAATTACGATCCTGAGAAACATTTGACATCACTGTGCTTACATTTACTGAGTACCTGAATCAAACCACATGTACACGCACAAACACACACACACACACACACACACACACACACACACACACACACACACACACACACACACACACACACAGCTCAATGCTTGTACTGAAATAGAGGTGATGGCACATCAGGCAGCCAACGGTATGCAAGTTAGCAAATCTTGTGTTTCATTATTACAATAAACATGACATGCAGTGGTTTAGTATGTGCTGCTGCCCTTCCTGTTGATGACATGGGTTTGATTCCCATCAACTTCCGGTCCCCAGTCCGCATAAATAATTGATGTGTTGCATCACGAAGGGCATCTGGCGGAAAAAAATGTCTCTGACAAATTATCTCTGGGACTTTCTGTGGCGACCCACAATGGGACAAGCCTATAGTCGCAACATCATTAACATCTATTGTTATTTTATTGGAAAATGTATGGTATTATATGAATAGCATCATTTCAGTTGAGTCAAACTCTTCTTCCTTGAGTTTGAAATGTCACAATACCTCTGCATTGTGCTTTTGATAACCGTTCACCATCATTTCATCGTCATAGGGTGCATCAAATCTACAAAGCTACAATAATGGGTGCATTTGTGCTATGCATCTACTAGATAGAGCTACTTTAAAGGGAATACAATACAATACAGCTTTAGAGAGAGCAAAGCCATGCCGAACTGGTCACAAACACAGACATGAAACATATAAATAAAAATGGCATTACAAAAGAATAAATGAAAGACAAAAGTCCTGAAGACAATTGATTCAGCAGAAAGGCACACAAACCTCGTTGGCTCACATCCACAATCTATCCTTAGAAGTCTTGATTCGTTTAATCAGTAGTTAACTATGCTTGTGGTATTATCTTCCTTTCATTAAGTAGTTGTCTGTTTGAGTGTGGATAGGTCAGGGGTCGGCAACCCAAAATGTTGAAAGATCCATATTGGACCAAAAAAATGTGTCTGGAGCCGCAACAAATTAAAAGCCTCAGAAAGAAACACACGCTGTATGTATCTATATTAGCTATATTAGCCTACTATCAAAATGACTAAGTTGGCTACAAATACACAATCAGCCTTGCCGATTAAACTTTTTTTTCCCCCCTGCAGTGCATCCTGTAGAGCCCCCCTGCTTGACAGGCCCAACCTTTTTTGACCAAAGTTCTATTCTTCGATCAACCAGCCTCCCGCGATCGACCCGTGACCGCACACGCATGCAAACGCACGCACTTACACACGCATGCCATAATGAGCAACAGCCATAACGGCGGCTAAAATGAACGAGGCACGGGACGCATTTTTGCAGCGTGTTAACTTTTGTAGCTGACATGTCCCGTTTTAAAATGCTTCTCTCGGTCCTTCAGATTGCCATTCTTTGCCAGTTCCCTCGGTGAATTGGACATGAAACGCCGTTTCTTCTTACAACAGCCACCTGCCTGGCATCCCGCTGTGCTAATAGAAACGTGTGTCGCAGGCTATGATGCAAATCTCCATTGACAGAAATGTTGAAATCTAATATTTATTCGAGATATTTTTACAGCATTGGAAAAATGTTAAGAATGTTTGTCCTCCTACAGAAACCATATTCAAACAAAAAATATATTTTCACTCCCCCATCTTTTTCCAATGTCAAACATTTTAAAAAGCTCCAGGGAGCCACTAGGCAGTGCTAAAGAGCCGCATGTGGCTCCGGAGCCCCGTGTTGCTGACCCCCGGTATAGGTGAATGCACCTGTCAATCACCTTTTAGGTTGCAATTGGTTCCTGCTAATAATCACAACTAGACGGCATAGAAACACTAACAGGTAAACAACTCAATGGGGACTATAAAGAGACGGTGTAACACCATACATAAAGGGCATCGAATTATAGGGCGCACTGTAGACTTTTGGGAAAATGGAATGCTTTTAGGTGCGCCTTATATTGCGGAAAATACGGTAATTTGATTTGAGACCAAAATATTGTGATCTAATGTGGAGTAAATTCCGTATGCACGATGTGTATTTGTCATATGCACAGTAAAAACACAACGGTAGCACACTGGGCAATGAAATTCTTATTTTGCTAATCTCCCTCTACTTATGCAAAGAATATAAAACATTGAAAAAGAGCTACCGGTACTTTAAGTGATGAAAGAAATATACTGGTGGAAAAAGAGCATTTGACGATTCAGTTAAGCAGGTTGCAGAAGTATTTCAGAGTGTAAACCTCCAATTGAGTAGGATTTAAAATTATTTTACAGTGTGGTTGATGAATCGTGATATAAATTCTTCAGAAGTCTGATGGCATGTGGGGAGTAGTTGTTTATTTTATTTTATTTAAGTTACTTAATTGTAGCAAATTTTGCCATAATGTAGAACACGTCAATGGCCTTTCGTCTTTATAAAGCAAACCGGGTGTAGTCGTCCGTCAACAAAAAACTCTGGACTTGCACTTTTCACTGGTCACAAATTCTAACCTCTTTTTGCACCAAAAGTCTTATTGTTTGACTCAAGTGTTTTCATAACTATTTTAGGGTCAACACCCCTTCCAACTGGCTAAGAAGTAAGAACGCCAGCAAGTATCCCATAGGGGCAGAAGGGAGGAACCTGAAGGCCTTCAGAGAGATCTTTTTGGAGCTTTGTACAACCTGGAGCTGCCGTGTCAACATTTTACTGTGAGACTGGACACAGACACCCGAGTGACGTTTGAAGCGCCAGTAGCTGTCGCGAGCAAAATGATTTCGACCTGACACATGTTTTAGAGGCCGTTGTTTGTTTGTTTTTAACCCTTTCGGGGACAGCGGTTACTACAGTGGACAGCTAATCATGTTATCAGGTTGCAGGGTGCATGAAAGGGTTAAAGGTTATGGGGTAGCACAACTTTCAGTCACACAAATAGATAAAAAAAAATGTAGCTGCTGATGGATATCTTTAACTCTACGTGATGGTCCTCTCACCATCTCGTGAAAACAAGGCATGAGCTACTGAGCACATGCTCGTTATGGTGTGCTGAACAGTTCACAGCATATACATAGTAAGATGCATCATAAGAACAGTGGAGAGCCTCATGACGATTCCTTTAGTGTTTTTCTGATTCTCATGCGAAAAAGCCCCTTTGATGCAGCTAGAAGATACAATATTCGGAAGAGTTGGTTCAACGGTATACGTTTTGCAACCAGCTTCACATCATGGCTGGTCACATATGTGATAATGCTGATTGTTTTCAATTGAACTGTTGTCATCAAGTAGTCGAGAATTCAAAGTTGTAATTGTACGTATTGTAAAATATAAACAAAATGATTGCGTGTATATAAACATATTCAAGCGTTGTATATAGATTGCAGAGTATCCACATCGATAGTGCTGTATGTGTGTTACTCCCAATAAGTAGCCTGTGCATCCAGCGTTGAGCAGATACAGCAAGCGCTGCTTGTTAATTTCCGACATCATAACACGTTTTGAGGGGATTTGAGTGAAAGTGCCCACGCTTCCATTGGTGTGCATGCAGATAATCAAACAAAACGATGTCAAATCACCTCGTCAATCTTTGTCGGTGATTGACACACGCACATTTTGTTTCTTTCGTGGAGAAAAGCATTCCGTGTCACTATTGACAGCTGCCTCCTAAAACAGGCCCATGTTCTTTCAGTCTCTGTTGAGCAATTCATTTGCATTCATATGAAGATACACCACCCAAAAATCGTCAATGCGTGCATTTGGAAATATAAACGTGCATTTAGCGACCTGGTCATTGCACCCACCTCAAGTGAAAATGTTAAATGGACAAAGTACACTTTTGCCGTTTTGACAGCTTCCCCTCTCATGAGAAGATTTGTCTGGGGCACATTTGTAGCATCGTTTATTTTCCAGATATCCCGATTAAGATTTGGGAGGTCAGAGGTCGGTGGCCTTCGATGAGGGGGCGGGGGTTGGTGTCTTGCTCGCACCCTCACTTCATGTGTACCCCAAACATATTTCATGAGATCTAGAACATGCTCCATCCATCCATTTGATTTTTATTTTCCATGGGTCTTGTCCAACCCCATTTAATGAGGACCGTCCATAAAGTGAAGTTGTAAACTATATTTATTATTCAACTGTATTTAGAAAAAAAAAAGCAAAGCTCTGATTGAGTATATATATTTTTTGTATAGCGTTGTGTTTGGTCTGTTTCAGATCATTTCAGTTTTTTTTTGTTCTATTTGTCGTTCCTTGTTATTTAATATCTAGTGGTTTTCTTTTTTTGTGTGTGTTTTACAATACAGTATATATACAGTTAGGTTCAGATGAAGATTTCTTTTTTCCTCATTCCACCACCTCAGTGGATTAAAAAAAAATCACTAATATGTTATTGGAAAGTGTAGATTTTCAGATATAATTCACAGTGTTTCAGGAAAAAAAATGGCATCCACTTACTACTTTGTAGGAATGAATTCCGGGATTGCTGTGTTTACAATTTGTCAAGAATCAACATACAGTACTTCTGAGGCCCTGAAAATAGATAGTTTGGATGAAATGATAAATGCCCTATTTTTATGGAACCCCTTGAATCAAACTAAAAGTATGCACAGTATGAATGCTTCTGGACCGACGGTATTGATTGGAGTCCTCTGTGGTACAGTTGACCTCAGATCCATGCAAAGAGTACCAAAAAAAAAAAAAAAGATTGCACAATACACCTTAACATCTTACTTGGAAAGTGCCGCAAGACACTCTAAGTGTGGTCGGCAACTGATAAACTTACCCTGCATTATTAAAAATCCATTGACAAAGGCACCACCAATGGAATAAAAACTCGGCATTGGACACACTTGGGCAAAATGGTTAGCACCTGTCTGTTCATGAAAGAAACAACAACAATAATACATAATAGTAATAATAAATGAAAATGACCCAATGAACCTCAGACATTGCTTTTGAAATGTGGATCAACAATTAAAAAAAAAAACATGAAACAACCCTGGGCAAATAAATGCTACCCTTAGAAAGGATTGAAAATAATTTGACCATAGGGACATGGTTAACCGAAGTGTGTGGTCTAACTAGTATCACGGGTGTCTTTAAGCTTCAAACCAGTCAGTCAGCCTAATTAAAAGGTGACAAATAGTCAATGTGTTCTTGGTGGAATGTTATGTAAACACTCTAAACATGGGCCATGAGAAGCAAAGCGAGGAGATTAGAAAGAAAGTTATAGACAGAGACAGGACCATCTCAGTACCCGTGACTGCAACTGCACCTATTCAGAAAATTAAAATCAACGACAGTGGAGCCAGCCTCCTGGGATGTGTTCACGGAAGTGAAATGACGAACTGAAGAGACAAATTATACAAATGGGAACAAAAGAGTAAAGGACAACCTCCAAAAAAATTAAAGGTTTAACTCCAACCTCAAGGTTTTGCAACAAAATATTAAATTCATGGTACCGTAATTTTCTTGTCTAGGCCAGTTTCATTAGTTTTGTTTATTTATTTATTTATTTTTACAATAATTTGGTATAACCACAATTCAAAAGCAGTGCCTGATTTTCATTGGTTTCTTTTCCTTGAATTTACTACCAACAATTTTGTCCATGTGTGCACTAAACAGCTGCCTACTAAGAAGTGCAAGATGACCTCATTAGTTCTCCCTCTGTCTACCGTGTGACCTTCCTCTTTGTTGAATCAATTGACAAGCTACATGATGCCATTTGATTTACTGAGCCGATTCTAGTGCCATCCTCATTGAAATGTTCGCTGATAAAAATACAAGACAGATTATGGATTATCCTTCCAAACTGTGCCATGTTGACCTGAACTGAAATATACTGTGTTGGAAAAGTGGCATTGTTATTATTATTATTATTATTATTATTATTATTTTAAGAAGGTATACGACAAGATTGATTGAATGTGTGGTTTCTACAATTTATTGTGCATTTGGGGACAATCTACGAACTAGTCATTTCAAATTGTATGGACAAATAGATGTGGATAATGATCATATAAGCAATACTGTTTATTTTCCAACAAGAATAGTTTCTGGGACGGACTGTTATCTGCCCGTCAATATTAGGGGTGGAACAAAAAAAAACGATTTAAACTGGAAAGGTGTTTTTTTTTTTATTATTTTAAAGGAGGCAAAGGCAACGAACTGAACCAAACCGAATAGTGGAACTCAGAAATCTATCCAGATACAGATTGAATCGTCTTTTATTGGAGAGATTTATCTTCTGAGGAAATTGAAGTAACGTAAATTCCGGGTTACAGACTGCACCTGATTAAGAGCCGCATGCTCAGATTTATGAAGAAAAATCAATTTTGTAATTATATGTGCCGCACCATATTATAAACCGCTGGCCAATGAGTAGGCAGGGGTTTGCTTCTGCGTCCCTGCCGCCTGGAGCGCCTCCGGGTGAGGCTGCGGACGCGGTCCCCCGCTGAACCCTCGCAGAAAAAAACCCAACAATTTCTTAAGGTTAAAATAATCTCCATATTTTTATGAGCATGATAAATGAAATTGTACAATGAAATTACGCTGAAACACATAATAAGAGGCCAGACAAAGAGAGATCTTGATGCACATTTGCGTAATTACGAGGAGAAATACTGCAGCCCACTAGGCTTTAAATAGAATAATGCAAATCATATAAATGGGAAAAGATATATGAAATTATTTCTCTAGTCAGCCGCTTAAAAATGATCATCGGTGGCAGCTTTAGGCCCGATGCTGCGCAGCTCAAAACACAGGTAAAATGTGTTCTCTCGTGGCCGCTTGTTTTTAGTATGACGGAGGAGTCACTTTTTTATTTACAGTCCGAGTGAGAGGCAAATCAAATGTGCATGGGTCTTTTTGGTTGTCGTTTTACACTAGCTCGGTTCTTCTTGCCGGAGCCTCCACCTTCGCACCATCGACTCGTTTATGCCAAGATTACGGGCAGCAGCTCGATTTCCTTCTTTAACTGCCAGAGTGATCGCTTTTAGTTTAAAAGCTGCATCATATGCTTTTCGTCTGGTATTCTCCATGTTGATCAGGGTTAGAAGAAAGACTGAAATAAGGAAGTTGTGATTACCGGTAATCATACAATTTCATTGGACCCCTGTGTACTACTCATTCATTTTATTGGTCGACGGTTGCCAGGTAACACATTTTTCCCCGCTATGGCGAACAGAGCGGAAGTTGTGATTAGTCATACAATCTCATTGGACCTCAGTGAACTACTCATTCATTTTGTTGGTCCATGTTTTTCCCGCGATGGAAAAAAAAAAATTAAAAAGCCGCTTCATATTACACGCCGCAGTGTTGAAAGTGTGGAAAAAAGTAGCATCTTGTAATCCGGAATTTACGGCATATCATATTTTCTGCACTATAAGGTGCTTCAGCTTATAGAGTGAATCTTCAATGAATGGCATATTTTAAAACGGCTTTCATATCTAGGGCGCACTGCATTATAAGGCACATGGAATAGAAGCTACAATAGTAGTTGCGGTTGCATTATGCATCCACTAGATGGCGCTACACTAAAAGGAATACAATACAATGCAGCTTTATATTATATAGAGCATGGTGTCAAACACACGGCCCGCGGGCCGGAACCGGCCCCTGAGGACATTCGATCAGGTCCGCAGGATAATTTAAAAATGAAAAATGCATAAAGACACAGAATTAATATTTTTAATAATATGCAATTCATAGATTATCAGATAGGGGCACATTGTTTTCTCTTTAGTTTGTAAAGTGTAGGCAGGGATTAAATTTAGATTTTCTGGAGATGCGTATAAAAGTAGAAATAATCAAGAATCTATATACATATATATGTCTATGTACATATTTATTTATTTGAAATTCAGATTAGTAAAACTATCTGCAAGAAGGGCATTATGCACACTTTGCATGTGAATGGTCGGCTTTTATGAGGCACTAACTATGTTTTTTATTTTGTTTTTCTTTATTGCTAATCTGTACAATCATACATACAATATTGTACATTTCACGCACAGTTAACTGCAATCTGCCAATTTAAACAGGTTTGTGCCATTCGACATGCTCTCAGCAACAGTGAATTGAGGTGTAGAGTACAGTATATGTTTCTTTCGGAGATTGAATTAGACCAGTTGTGGTGTTCGCGAAGATCCATGTGTTTGTTGATCCATTCGAGATAACCTTTCGGGTAAGTGTGCTGTCTGAAATGAATGTTTTAAGGAGTAAATATGGTCATTTTGTTTTCCAAAGTTATTTTTACTTTCTTTTTTTAATACATATAATGGCAGCTGTCATAACTGAATGCCGAACTGTTTTTCCTCAACTGTCATTGAATGGGTATTTAAAAAAATACATAAATAAATAAAGTCAAAATGTTCTGTGTTCACAGTAAATGTCAGAGGTTCAAATATATACACGCACGCACCCACTCACACTCACTCGCAACACATTAAATGACAGTGTAAAGCAGGGGTGGCCAACCCGCGGCTCGCGAGTCGCATGCGGCTCTTTGGCTGGTTCAATGCGGCTCCCAGGCTTTCACATGACAAGCGTCGAAAACGCCTCGGCTGTGGCGCTGCCATTCAAACAACGGTGCTAAATACACAGAACTTACTATGTCAGCCTATCATCAATCCCGTTACTTGATTAACAAATAGGGCAATCAGTCAATGACAACTGAATCACCGTTCATGCGCAAGCAACGGCACTAAGTGCTAAGCTAGTCAGCGAATTACCTCTGATTTTAAGGCAGGGGTGACCAATACGTCGATCGCAATCAACTGGGAGCCAGCAGACTGGTCCCAAGTCGACCACGAGGGGTGGGAGGCGGAAATAGGATGGGAGGAAGAGTTGTGGGTGTGTGCGTGTACGCGCGCGCGCGCAAGGAAAGGATGCGGTAATGCTTATGTGTGCCCATGTGTATGATGTGGCTCTTTGCAGTAACACAGTAAAAAAAATTGGCTCTTAGTCTCTGACTGGTTGGCCATCCCTGGTGTAGAGACATAGCAAGGCATTGGGGATCCAGGGGCCTCATTTTTCGAAGAGTGGAGAACGGGGAAGTCAGCGCCACCCCTGGACTCTGGTTAGACCCCCACCGCACCCCCCTGCTGCCAGGTGCCACTCCAGACAATTGAACTTGCCATGGGACCAAGCGTCTGTGTTTTACATTTTTGGGCTGAAAATTGAAATGTGATAATATTGTGTGACTGTAAGTAACAGCGTGGAAGTATAACAGTTTAAGATGTTGGGGGGTACAATTGGTTTCTCGAGAGAAACAACGTAAATTCAGCTTCATGTATTTTACTCTTTTTTTTACACAGGTTTTGATTGCTGTAGTGACTACAGCAATCAAAACCTGTTCATAACCGAAAACTGTTTTTTTCTGTAACTTTGTGTAGCCAAAGATTTTGAGGAACTTTCAGACATCCCAAGATGTAAATGGACTTTAATTTACAAAGTATAGATTTATCAAGAAGGTAAATTATATTGTATGAAGGCTTGAAAAAAATGCCAATGATTAAGTTTCAATATGCACATTTGTCAATGTTGGTCATTCACCTTTTTCATTCATTTTTAGAATGAATTTTTATTAAATCATCACATTTGTAATATCATATCCTTAAACTAGTAGTTCTTAACCTTCTTAGAGGTACCACACCCAACCAGTTAATATGAACATTCACTGAACCCTTCATGAGTGAAAAATAAATATATATTTTTTTTTTACAAATTCAAGATATTTAAAAAAAACGCATTTCTTAAAAACAGAAAAAAGTAAATAAAATTTCAAGAGATAAGTATGCTTTTATTTATTTATTTTTTTAATTGTACGACATACGATCACGACAGTCACACGTTGACGATTAAGCGAACTACATTTTCCGCAGCACTGATTGGACAAGCAATGTAATGTGATCATCTGCAGCCAGCGATGGCCAAGCAGGCGTGTCATAACTAATTGACATGTTAAGTCGGGTGTGTCTTAACCTCCATGGAAGAGGCTACGTCGAAACTCTGAGACCGATTCACCAAACCCCTGGGGTTCGATCGAACCCAGCCTTAAACTGTTTACTCATAAATGCTAGCGAGATATAGAAAAAAAAAATCTTGGCAACTCTGATGCCAGAGCACCAATATGCCATATGGTAACTCCACTGACTCAATGTGATAGAAATGGCACAACAGAAAATATTTTGTTGTATTTCACTTCAAACAATAAAACATTTCAAAATGTTTTATTAAAAGGTTTAGGCTGGGTCACAGATTTTGATCATAAGATGATGTCCACAATTCATACATTTGACAACACAACATGGAAACAAAAAAATCATTCATTCATGCAGGGACCTCAGTGAGTATAAAACAGATGTCTGACTCAACAATTCCTTCTCCATAAGACATTTTGTGTGTGTGTGTGTGTCTATATATATATATATACAGAGAGAGAGAGAAAGAGACAGACAGAGAGATTTCTTTTTTGGGGGGTGGGGGGTGCACCATAACCTTTCGCCAGTCGATGAACAGCTTCCCCCCACCCCCACACACACTCCCTGACCCCCGGCCTTCATATCACCCACTGACCTCTCTGTAGCACCCCTGACCGAAGGATTGCCCCTGTTGATCTTTATAGCCGTTCCATATGTAGTTTCACTGTTCTCCCGCAATGTTTTGTGTGTACACATGATCAGAGCTCTTCATAAATGTGTAAATGTCCTCGCACCCAAGTCCAAAGGGATATCCCATACTTGGAATTGGAATGTTTGTATGCATACTTTCGACACACTTCTGAAAAGTAAGGACCCTGGTGAGGAAAACCGATGGGAGCAATCCACACAGAGAGGTACGTCCCATCGTCCATAATCGCAAACAATGGCGCCACAGAGATCACCACTGGGGAAGACCGGTGTGAACTCCTCACAATGTGAAGAGCCACCCCCCCAAGTCCCTCGGGTCCAGGGAGTCTGCAGGATGACAGCTCTCAGCGTTGAGGCAACACTGAAGTTAAAACTTCTAAAAAGTCAAAGAAGCTAAAAGTTAAAAAGACAAAATAAAATGTAAATAAATAAAAATAACTAGGGAAATAAAATGTTCCAATTTTATTAAATGGGTAAATGAATAGGCCTTCATAGGTGAGTAAATAAAAGAAATTAATTAAATAGTTATATCAGTGAACAAACAAGAGTTAATTATTAACAAATGAAATAAGAAATAAAACAGGTGAGCCACTCGCCTCCTTTTAAAATTATCAACAGACTCTGCGGTCCTGACACCTTCAGGCAGGCTGTTCCAGAGGTGCAGCCCATCATGGCTCAATGAAGGCTCTTTTAGTTTGGTCTTTGGAAGCAATTAAAACGCCAATGCCAGAGGACCTCGGGGCATGTAAGGGTTGATATGATGAATTATGTCAGATAGATAGGACCATGACGACATTTGAAAACGAGTAAAAGAACCTCAACATCGCTCATGAAAAAGCCATTGAACCGATACAGTGATCTTAAGACCGATATAATGTGGACACCCACTAGTCTTTGCACCAAAGGCTGCCGAGTTCTGGAGCAGTTGTCGGCTCGAATTGCTCTCATTTGGAAGACCAGAGAGCAGGGCATGAACAATAACTAAAAACGGCAGGAGATAAAAGCACAATAAGTCAGGGAGTTCGATATGTTCCGTGAAGGCTTGCTATGCCATGCGGCTACCAGGGAAAATCTCTGTGCTGCTCCCAATGGCTGGTCTTACACAGCAAACCCGCGCACACGCACACACCCATGCCTGCGTACACGATGTCAAACAGCTTAAGACCAGCAGGGGCAGCCAGATACTTCAATTTAATCAGAAGCACCCTTGGCAACGCATGAAAAAAGGCCCCTCCTGGCAAACAGTCTCATTGTGCTCACGGGCAGCAGAATGAGGAGATGCAGTTGGACGGAGACGTGATGAGGGAACACGGCTTACTGATGTGAATTAGCTCCACAGAATATTGGCAGGTAAATACTGAAAATAATTGGTCTATTTGTTAAATTTGCGAATGCTATCAATTTAAAGGACAAATGGTGCAGAAATGTCATTTCTTTTCAGAAAAAAATCCCAAGCAATGACAAGTTCATGCTTCATTGCACGATTCGAGCAGCTAAAGAAAATAAAGCATTTGTATTGTCATAATTTTGTTCAATGTGCATATAGAGTAGTTTAAATTCTTATTTGGTTCTATTTCTGACATTCTTATATTGTGACATCATGGTGTGCTTTTATTGTTAACCCTGTAGTTGAAACCTCTTTTCTAGAGCACTTTTCTACATGCTCTTTTGAGTTCATTTTTAGCGTCAAAAGCAGTCCAATCAAGCTCATACTGTGGCGGAGCATCTTCTTGAACAGACAGTGATGTGAAATAGCTCTGAGAGCAATTTCTATGGTGGCAGGCCAATGTCTGGACATGGGCAACGGTTCAATCAAGGTCCCACGCGCTGAGGAGAGCAACGGCCTAACCTCCATTCACCCAGTACCTCCAGGGCTGGACACAGAAATGTTGAGGTTAGTCAAGCCAAGTCTCATAAATGTGCGTAATGAGTAAAATGTATAACAGAGCAGTCTAGAGCCATTACAAGGAAAAGTCAAACTTAGCATACACAGCTCGGTTAAAGATAATGTAAATATCTTGGTGTATGTAGAGCTGTGATTATTCACTTCAATGCTAACAATAATTCTGCAATCCCAGATTTGACCTTTTTTCACATATTTTGAATGCGGAGACTGACCATGAGTTTATCATGAATCTCGAACCTACTGTTCCTATCCTGGATGGTCAGATTTTAAGTACATCAATTTGCCTGAAATACAAAAAAAAAATCCTTGTTCAAACTGTAAACATCTTTGACCAACTTATTGCATCACTTCATTCTGAAAACTAAAATTAGATTCATGCAGTGGCGGGCCGTGCATTTCAACCTTAGGCCTTCAGTGACGTCACATACATACACAATATAGGCTCGTCAAGCAGCACTTAATTTCAGGAGCATTTAAAACCATCAAGTATGCATTCACAATTAAGAGCAGGAAACTAAATTTACAGATAGTCAAAAATAAAAAGATGATTTAAAAATACGAAATAAAATGCCACCCAAATTACACTGTGTGATCTTAAACAAGTCTGTCCAATAAATTGCGCAATGTCGCAGTTTCATATAAGACACCAACCAAACAATAACAAAACAAACTATTCTTTGAAAATAAACAGATAATTTGCATTTTGAAAATCGGCGATTCAACAGCAAATAACTGAAAATGTTGAGCAGCTGAGATTGAACGCACTTTCGTGCACGAAGGTGACTACAATGCGCCATTATAAATTGCAGGTGAGCAGATTTATTTGATACATTTTTGTATCTTTGTCATTTTATTTCGTTACCATGAATTTAATACTAACGAAATAAAATGACAAGAAGAAATGTAAAATAAAATTCATTTACTCACCAATGTCGTGCCTGTTCACTGAGGTGCAGATCTACGCGTGTGTCCCCAAACGTTTTTAAACGCACCGTAGCTTGTAAGTGCCCAGCCGTTTCCTTGCTGCCTTAGTAAAACAATCCAGTGTGGCTCCAAACACCAAATCG